GGGCAGATCACCTGAGGTCGGGAGTTCGAGACCAGCCTGATCAACATGGAGAAACCTCGTCTCTACTAAAAATATAAAATTAGCTGGGCATGGTGGCGCGTGCTACTAGGGAGGCTGAGGCAGGAGAACCGCTTGAACCCAGGAGGTAGAAGTTGTAGTGAGCCAAGATTGCGCCACTGCACTCCAGCCTGGGTAACAAAGCAACACTCCGTCTCGGGGGAAAAAAAAAATATATATATATATATATGTGTGTGTGTGTGTGTGTATATATATGTGTATATATGTGTGTGTGTGTGTGTATATATAGTGGGGCATGGTGGTGCACCTGTAGTCCCAGCTACTCGGGAGGCCAAGGCAGGAGGATTGCTTGAGCCTGAGGGTTCGAGACCAGCCTAAGCAACATAGTGAGGCTGTGTCTCTACAAATCATAAAAAAATTAGCTGGGTGTGAGGGTGCCTGCCTGTAGTCCCAGCTACTCAGGAGTCTGAGGCGGGAGGATTGCTTGAGCCCAGGAGGTCAAAGCTGCAGTGAGCCATGATTGCACCACTGCACTCCAGCCTGGGTGACAGAGCCAGACCTTGTCTCTTAAAAAAAAAAAACAATTGCATTCAGGGGTCACAGTTCCAAGGTCACGGCGCAGTCAGGGGTCATAAAGGCGTGAGGGGTCACAATGGGGTCGGAAGCATGCGGGGGGTCAGGGCAGAGCCCGCGTGACCCCCAAAGTAGTCCCCTGTCGCTCATCGCCAGGTTCTCGCCGATCGCCATCGACGGTATGAGCGGCCTGGCGGGCGTGGGCCTGTCGGGGGGCGCGGCAGGCGCTGGCTGGTGCATCTTCGTGTACAACCTGTCACCGGAGGCGGACGAGAGTGTGCTGTGGCAGCTGTTCGGGCCCTTTGGGGCAGTCACCAACGTCAAGGTCATCCGCGATTTCACCACCAACAAATGCAAGGGGTTCGGCTTCGTGACCATGACCAACTATGACGAGGCGGCCATGGCCATCGCCAGCCTGAACGGCTATCGCCTGGGCGAGCGCGTGCTGCAGGTCTCCTTCAAGACCAGCAAACAGCACAAGGCGTGAGCCCGCCCCGCCTGCCCTCCCACCCCCTCCCCGGGCAGCAGAGAGAGAGAAAGAGAGAGAGAGAGAGAGAAGGGGCCCAAGAGAGACAGCACAGGCAGCCCCACGGACGACGCGAGGGCCCCACGTCCCTGCGGAAGCCACAGGGTGAGCACTCCGGGGTGGGAGGGTCTGCAGGGAATGGGGGGGTGCCCGGGGATCCCCCGCCCCATCCTCCTGCCCCCACCCCAGGCTGGGCTGTTCACTCTCTCGTCTTGGTTTGGTTCATGGTGAAGGTTTTTGTTTCTTTTTTCCGGCTAAAAAGAATGCAGAGATGTGCCCCCACCCCCACCCCCGACCACCCCCGATGGGATGGCTTGCGGGGCTCCAGGGGGTGCCCTCCCAGACCCCCTTGCCCAGGCCTCCCCAGCACCTAGGTGGGGCCTGGGGTAGGAGGAACAGGTTTAAAAATCCCCAAAAAAGCGAACCGTGAGGAGGGGTGTGGGCACCCCCAGCCCAGTGCCCCCTGGTGGAATGCGGGGAGCAGGCAGTGGGGCTGGAAGCAGGAACAAATGAAAAAAAAAAGGGGGGGTGGGAGGGGAAGAAAAACTCTATTTTTGTAAAAAGGGAAAAAGACCTCGTGGAGAATTTTTACTGGGGATTCTTGAACTTGAAAAAAAAAACACAAAAAAAGACAAAAAAAAAAAAAGAAAATATTTTGGCAGGCTATGTTTACCAACTGGGGCAGGGGTGGGGGGGAGGGGTCCAGGGAGCAGGGCTTAGGGGCTGGC